GATAAATTGCTGTAGACAATAGTAAACTGAGTATAATAATTTATTCGCAGTACGCACTTCCTAATTTAGTTGTGGTGATAGAAATCTTAATATCATTGATACACAGTTGAGAAATATTGTGCAGTTCTTCAAAAGCAGATTTAAACCTTATTAATATTAAACCCAATTCCGCATGCAGCTGTGGCCATCCTATTGAGGATAGTATTCACTATTTTTTAAGTGCCCTTTTATCAACAAAGCAAGAGAAATATTGTTTTCAAAATTAGAAAGATCTACTATATCCATTTTGCTTCTATTGGCTGGTGACGGTGACCTTTCATTTCATCAAAACAAAGAAATTTTTTGAGTCTGTACAATCATATATCAGAAATACACAACGATTTAGAACATTCAATTAAAATTCGGAATTCCTAATTCCCAACTCTTCACTCAGGTCCAGTTTTATATATTACTCTATATTATATCATACTTCTTTTTTTGAGACAAGGCCATATTTTGTCAAAAGAGAAGCACAATTACCCCAAAGCGATTTGCGAAAAGTGGTTTCGTATTTCGTTATAGAAAAAAAAAATACTAGTAGTTTGTGTAAAGTCACGACTTTCGTACGGTGTCGCGTTAATATCCTTTTAATAAATTGGTGCAATTGGGTGCAAAAAATAATGACCATAAAATGTCAGTTTGCGAGATCAGACAGTAACCTAACAACTAAACAATTGAAAATCTGGGGATCAATATTTAACATTCGTCAGCAATGATCAATTTTCATAAATAAAACATGATTTAGTCGAATACTTTGCGAGTAAAGAAAAAGTGACTACCATAGATTTGTTATTAACCCCAAATGCTTGATGGATATAAATCTGTATTCAGGAGTTAACCTTTTTGCATTAAACCACATTACAACAGAAATTGGAAAATATGGCCTGGAAATACTTCTAGGACATTGTTTTTTTTCCTATTCTATGTAGCTTTCTTACCGGCCAACATGGTGATAGATTTTATAGATGTTGTCAGGCACCGACCATTGAAAACAATCGATCTGTTTAAAATAAGAAATGAAAATAACTGTTTTGTGTTTTTTTTTGTTTTTTTTTGGCAAATAAGAAAAATGACCGTTTGATTTAATATTGTTTAAAATTATTTTGAAATAGATTTATGAAAATAATTTATTTACATGTGAAAAGGCTAGACTTTGTGGCGTAGGGATGTGATTGGGTGGTTTTGTTTACAATTTTCCCCATTATTTCTGCAGTGAAATTCTGTAATAATTATTGTTTTATCATGTTGTTGGATTTACACATTATAACAAAACTGAGAATATGACGGATGAATTTATAGTTATCTGTTTAATGTCCAGTGGCAACTGTTAGATGTATTATTAGAAGGACATTTAAAATGTTATAAATATGAACAAGAACATCCTTTGTTGTGCAAACATGTGTATAACGGCACAAGCGACGAACTATAGACCGTGTGTACATGTATCATATGTATATTTAGGGTGGGGTTGCTCCGAATAAAGTAGGTATAATAGATAGTTGTAGGAGAATAAAGAAAAAAAAATAAAATTAGAGTATAACGGGAAAAATAAAGGAGAGAGGAAAATGGTATAAGAAAATTAAAGAATAGAGGGTCTAGTTTTTTTGCCGGACAATTGTTGATGATTGTTTAAAGTCAAGTGCATTTATAGTCAAAATAATACATTATCGTATGTACATTGGTAGGGATTTTTTGTTTAGGGTTGACGAGGCACATAGCGAGTAATTGTTCTTATTTGAAATTTCTCGAATATTTGTTTCTGTCGACTGATTTGATAAATGAATAAAAAAAATCTATAATCTAAAAAAAAAAATGGTTTAATTACGATATATAGATAAAACTGGGTAGCGTTCAATATCGTAGCGGCTACGTAGTGCTACGTAGATTTATGACTATTGAACGTGTATTTAGAGGCTTTTTAGCCTAGCTGCTACATAGATATTGATAGCAGCTACGTAGCCGCTACGTAGCCGCTACGATATTGAACTCGACCCTGCTATTCAGTCGATTTTAAAATACATGCGATAAAAGAGAATACATAAAAATATTTAACAAACCTTTGGACAAAAGGTCAACCTTAAGACCCCGAATATACTTTTGTAAGAACATTAGATTTATTCCGAATTCCATCTAAAAAAAATTGTTCATTTAGGTTAATAAAAATGTTAATACCTTAGGCTATTTTCAAAAAAATGTTGACTGAATACCCTGCAGGCTGCAGTTTACTCACACATTCACCAAGTATGTATTTCTACGGCTAACAAAATTCATAATCGTATCTTTTAATTCGTTTAAATTTAATTCAGTGTTTATTTTTCAAACTTTTTATGTAAATAGGTTTGGATCAACATCGAGTCTGATCAAATTATAATTTATTAAATTATTTAATTAAAAACTGAAACATGCATCCAATCTAAATGTTACGCCTATTATCACCTATATAAAAAGATTTAACAGAACGCCATTCATATTTATATTTAAAAAAATAAACAAACATATACGCTAAACGAAACTATGCACGCCAAGAAACGATGTACGCTATACGATACGATATACGCTTAACGAAACGATGTACGCTAAACGAAACGGTATACGCTTAATGAAACGATGTACGCAAAAACATACGATGTACGATAAAAGGGTGCTTATTTTATCGTTTATGGTATGGTTTATGGTACATGGTTTCGTTCGTACATCATTCGTTCAGCGTCCGTACAACGTTCGGTCAGCGTTTCGTTTGCATTCGTACACCGTTCGGGAAGCGTACGTACATCGTTCGGGCATCGTCCGTACATGATTCGGGCATCGTTCGTATTGTTAACTTTTACGTTACACGGACTGTACATCTGAATAAAGTAGCAATCAGTGAATATTCAACTGAATTAGTAAATGAAATTGTCACGACACTTGGCATTGCAAAATTTAATCCAAACAATTTTACCAGATGTAGATCTTTAACTTTTCTTAAATATGCAGACACACATATAGTTATTCATTATAAAATATATTAATAGTTTGAGTTAAGATCAGTAATTGTACAACTGTAAAGCTAAAACCAGAAAGTTTGAACAATTTTTGTTATGTTCCCGATTATATAATGGGATTCATTAGATTTTGAAATTTCACTACAATATACAAATGTTTTTGTGCTAACAAAAGATCAAACAATATTATGTTTATATATAACATATAAATATCACACGTGTGAAATCATTGAAGCTATACTATAGTATCACATATGACTTGATTTCAATATTTAACCCACAAGGCTACATCATAATGTTTTGACCCTATATTTATTTAATCTACGTCATCAGGTATAATTTGAGTGAATCAATGAAACCATTTTTTATCTTCATGTCATGTTATGGTTTGTGATAAGAAAAACTTATATTTAGGGGGAGGTTATTTTGAAATTAATTATGTATGGAATGTGAAAGTAGTCTTCAATGTTTAAAACAAGTTTCAAGTTTCGTTGTTTTTATCATTAGAACTCTTTCCAAAAAGAAACTCCATCTTATTGTAACAATTTTCCTGACAGATTGTTGGATTCAGATCGATGATTAAAATATAATCATAAACAGTAAAATAACAAATAATGTCTGTTTATTGTCGGAATAAACTAGTACCACTCATTGTTTTTGTTAGATGTATTCCTAGTTGTATCCATCGAATGAGTTTTTCAACTGATTTTTATAGTCCGTTCTTATGCTGTACTGTTTCACCACTGTCCCAGGATAGGGGGAGGGTTGGGATCCCGCTAACATGTTTAACCCCGCCACATTCTGTATGTATGTGCCTGTCCCAAGTCAGGAGCCTGTAATTCAGTGGTTGTCGTTTGTTGAAGTGTTACATATTTGTTTTTCGTTCAATTTAGTGTACGTTAGTTTTCTCGTTAGAATTGTTTTACATTTGTCATTTCGGGGCCTTTTATAGCTGACTTTGCGGTATGGGCTTTGCTCATTGTTGAAGGCCGTACGGTGACCTATATTTGGTAATGTCTGTGTAATTTGATCTCTTGTGGAGAGTTGTTTCATTGGCAATCATACCACATCTTCTTTTTTAAATATACAGAACTTGTAGGAAAACTCAAAACGATAGGTCAATTGCAAAATTAAGAGCTCAAACACATTACATGAATGACTTGGTATAGATGATAAGTTAAGCATTGTCCAAGCGAGTTGAATAGCTTGTCCTTATATTGTACTGTTTGCGGCTAGTGGAGGTTTTTGCACTAGAAATGTTGTTTAACCCCGCAACACTATGTATACGTCTTTTCCAAGTAAAGAGCCTGCAGATCGGTAGTTGTCGTTTGTTGTTGTGTATCATAATTAATTTTTGTTTATTGTTTTGTACATAACGCATACCTTTTGTTTTCTCGTTTGAATTGTTGTACATTTGTTATGGCGGGGCTTTTGATAGATTTCATTTCTGTTTATATTTTGCTTCGTACAGAAACATAGTTGTTAGCCTCGGCATTTTGTCTCTGGTGAAGAGTTTTTTTTATTGGAAATCATACCAAATTTTCTCATATTTATATGTATGCGTATGACCCTATGTCTGTCATTAAAATAAAAAAAAGAATTATGTCTCAAACTTCATGCATTTAGTGTAAAACTGCAAAAAAAATACTGCAGAAATATCCTCACATATTCGTTGTTGTCATTAACAATTAAATATTTAAATATGACCAGAAGAGATATGTGTTATATAATGTATTTGATAAAAAAAAAAATGCATATAATCTTTTCGGTATTTTGTAGAAGTTCATGTTCCTGAGTCTTTGGTGTTTTGTTTTTTCCGATCGTAGTTTCCTTTGGTTAGTTTTTTGTGTTTTTATTCGATACACGATATATAATTGTCCCTTTGATATCTTGTGATACTATGGAATATCAACGACATTAGGAACACTAGTGTCTCAACTGATGTTATGTAATTTCTCGTGTACATCATGTACGCACCTGATTAAGATCCATAAAACCCTGAAAAAATGAATAACAAAGTAAATATTCATCAATATCTAAAAAGATTTATTTTGAATAATGTATTTAAAAATCTATAACTGTTTTGTAGATGTATGCATTGTAACATACTTGTTCGAATAAAAACTTTTTTAATATTTTCTAGTTAAAGTTTCATTGACCTGTGCAATTATATTTCTAAATTTGAACTGTTCTTTATCATCCTCCCTTAAAACAAGGATGGTATGAAACCTACATGCGCAGATGATTTTAACATAATATATAATGTAATAATGTCTTAGGCATACAGCTTGTCAATGTATATTTGTTCAGCCTGACAGACATTCCCCAGGAAACTTTTTTAACAAACTGTTGGAACAAATATTCTATAACCTTTATTCTGTTAGGAACAAATACTGTAACATTTGTTCCTGGCCAGTGGAATTAATATTACAGAATGTTTATTCCATTTGGTACTTATGTTATAAAGGAACTTATATAAAATGACCTCAATGTAACGTTATTCTTGTTGTAATATGCATTCGCTATGTAATCAAGATTAATAACTAATTTATACAACATGACTGTAAACTGTATGTATACGGTCGTTTGATATCATTTTTTTATTATTGGTATATCAATAAGTAGGATTTTTGGTTTGTACAGACTTGAATCTACAAAGTTAAACTTAGAAGACATGCATTGTTTTCAAGTTTACACACTGATCTGTGAATAGACCATTGTACAAATAAATATGAATGACTTCAAAAGCATATAAACTGAAAAACACATACTTGCTGTTAATGAAAACAAGGTACAGTGGTACACCGCTGATCAATAGTCACATACTTTATTTCCATGAATCAGGAAGAAATGAACCTGCAATACCAGTGTTGACTTGCGAACGGTTTAAAGTATTTCAATTCGTAGCCTATTGAATCGTGACGAAGTTTATATTTTATCTTTAAAGAAATGTTTAAATATCTATTCGACTTGATTGTTACGGTCATATTTACCTATCTTTAGCAAACGATTTATTTCACTAATAAACTGACAAGTATAAAAACTGATTGGGCTATTGAATTGTCTAAACAAGCTTTTACTTAGAAAATAATATGTTCGATCGACTTTTATTATTAAAAATGATAATTTGCTAGAAATTATAGCATGCATACTGTAAAAATTTAATTGAAAAATATAATTGGGATATTATCGCAGATCTGAAATAAAAATGGTCTCTGTTTATCGTCTTTCGTTATATTTAAATGTTCGGTTTATGTTAAAACGTTGTAGATGTAAGTGCATGGTTAAACGTTGTAGCAAAGAAATAATTCACTTATAAGAATGACTAATGCAAAAATAATTCTAGTATAATTTAATTTGAATAAATATCTTGGTTTGCATGGATTCTATTATTGCAAATGAACACATTTATAATGGTTTTGATCTATTACACCAAACGAGCGTTAAATCAATAATGGCGGTCATATGGAAGCTGTTGGAAGGCTGAATCAATTCCAAAACAGATTGCCATATCTTCCATAAGTCCATCCTTTCTTTTAGGTATGTTAGTTTTTGGTGTTTCCAATGGTCTAAAAATTTGATGAACAATACTATTTAGGGTAAACGATACAGTGACAGGGGAGGTTATAACGCTGCGTGCGTAAATTTTCATTTACGCGACATCAAACTGTGACATATTGGCAATATAAGCATTTTCGCCTTTTTTTAATTTATTAAACTGATTTAACATGAAGACGAGTACATCGGCCTTTTTTTGAAATGGCATTAGGTTTATTACGTAAGAAGATTCGTTTTACCAATTTCAATTAAAAAGTCAATGTTTTTTTATTTGATAAACATACCGCTAAAAATGTCGTTTTACCTACATATCCTGAAGCTTTGTACAAATTTAATCATTTCCCAAAAACTAAGGTACATATTAGACATTTTCGAAAAGTATTTTAAATTTTTAGGTTTAAATTGATGATGACATTTATAGATAATTCTATAGGGGCCATTTCAAAGTGTATAATGTTGACAAATTAAAAAACCAAATAACGCAAAAGATGTATTTTTATTCAAATCAACGAAATAAGCCTGCATACAAAAGCTGCATAAATAGGTACTTTTCGACGTTTTTTTTTTTTCTCCTCGAATGTCTCCAACGACTTCCCATAACTTTATAATTCATCAGTTCTCCAATCGAATGTAGAACAGTGGCTCTGTAGTCTTTGATTAAATTACTAATTTTCCGACACCTTTTTTTTAAATTGTCTGGTTTTCGCTGAATAGCTGGGGTGAATAGGGTGTCAAAAGAGGATATCTATAAGGATATATTTAATAAGCCAGTAAAACTATTATTTCAGGGAAGTCAGACTCGGGATTTCTCCCAATTGATCCCAATTGACATCATCATTGCAAACTGTTTCGCATCAATTTGATGTCCCAAAAACACGGAATTAATATAAATCATTTTATCTAAACTATCGATGACGACCTGATTATGGACGCAATGAATGGGGCAATATCTAGAAAAATAAAGCTCCAGAGGCTCAACTAGTGGCCTGTAAATTTCCGCTGAGGTATCGTCAATAGCGCTAGCACTTATTTTCATTAGGAGCTTTTCCCTGTTTCCCATCTTTGCTCTCTATTCATTAAGAGATTGCCACTGTATCAGATTATGAAACTGTTTGTAAAACACGGGAATGCACCGAATTATTTCATCATTTATTCTGGTAACGCGTACGCAAAACATTAAGGTTAGCATATGATAACAGGGATAAGACCTTTGCCAAAGCACGAGCAACATAACTCTATTTCTCGGGGAAAGTTGTATGTTGCCTGCCAATGTCATGACATCATTTCCAATTTGTCTCATTAGACGATATGTTTTAAAGAGTATTTCTCAAGTTGTTTAATAAGAGAAGCATCTATGACGTGAAAATATTTGAAAAACATCGTTTCCCTACCAGGTGTCTACGGCGTCGTCTATAATGCAATAATATAACAACTGTATAATTATGAATTGCCAAAGACAAAATTGTAGTATAACATATAGATAAAAATCATTTCTCTTATTGTTTTCGTTGAGACATTTTTCGAGACATTGTGTATTTTGAGTTGACCCATAGGTAAGTTTACCTGTAATTATCATCTTCAACTTGAAAGTCATTGTAAACTTTATTTTCCGAAAATGTCTATTAAGAGCATAGTTATGTTAAGAAGATTTTACATGTTTTTACAAAAATCTGCTTGAGTTTATCTGTTTAGCTTCTATGCACATTTTCGTAAAAAACTCATCGTGGATTTGAAACTGTATCGTTTCCCCTTAGAGTAAAAGGTAGCCATGAAATGTTGTAAGTTAATTATTGGCTTCTGAGTTAATACCGTATGTACAAAATGTCCACGAGTAAAAACAAAGAAAAACGAAAATAATTAAGGACGACAGTCATACATTGTGCATAAATCAAACTTATCAGAAGCGCTCGAGTCACAATACTTGTAATGACAAATCAATGTCTTGGATTACAGTATGAAAATAAAAATTCAAAATACTTGGTAAACATGTTTGATCTTGCTAAAGTCATATATTCCTGTGAGGAGCAAACCCATTTTCAATTATTTTCACGAATTCATTACTTATTTAATATCAGCTGTGATGTTCATGACGCAAGAGAAAGGAGAATTTTTAGGAAACATATTTTGACAAATTGGATATCTCCTAAAAGAATATAACGGATACAAAACCAATTGTGCAGTGGTGTAATTGCACAAAATTAAAACCAATTAGACTGTTAATATTGTTGAATGTGTATTTAAACTTCAACTATTTCTTTTCTTAAACGTTCGCGATTGTTCAACCTCGGAAAACAATAAACCCTTTCAGTTAAAAACATAATTTCGAAAATACCATACAGTAAAGGCAATACCACTCACATAAATGCACACGTTTCAATTGAAAATTTGTATTTCCAAACCATGTAGTTGATTAAAGCGTCGTTTAAAAATGAGCAAACATAACACTATTAAAACAAATCACAAAAGATTCTGAGTAGTACAATATGAACCAAATACCATACAAAAACCGAATAGAAGTACAATACATAAAACGACAAATAAAACACTATTATCACAGATTGAACTAAAGGTTGTCGCTTGGATACAAGTACATTCAGAGTTTTAAATCATGGATTTTACCTCAATATGTGTGTATATGATTATTACGTTAAGCAATAATGTAATTCAAACCCCGATCTAGTTTATTTATATGTAGCGAGGGATAATAGGTATTATTCAACGAAGGTCGTACATGATCATTAGATATCAAGCCTTTTATGCTTGTTTATTATTTAGTTTAAACTATTGAAATTAAAGTGCAATTCCCGTGTAGAAAAAAAATATCACTTGATCATGTCATGTTTGTGAAATGCAGTCCGACTTATTATTCAATTATTCACTATTTTTAACATTTGAACATTTGCTATTATCTTTTCTTCTTAAAGATATTGCAACGATTTTAATGATAAATAACACCACTTACTGAAGTTTTATCAATGTTGTCTTATAATGTTTAGTTCTACGGTTAATTAATATTGTGTGCTTGTCATAGTAATACACTGTGTATATTTATATCTGATACATCGCTTAATATTTAGATATGATAAAATATTTTGATTACTTTTTACGCTGACTTGTATAGAAAACTTAATTGGGAGGAAACAGAAATGCTTATTATGTAACAATGTCATCTTTAAACAGATAGTTTAATCCGGAGGTGAAAATTCCAGCTCTGGGTACAAATAAAACAAAGCATTTTTGATTACAAAAAATGTTATTGTACTAATTGAAATGGAGTGCACAAGATTATTTTACTCAAATGATCATTTTGTACATTTGTTAAGGCATAAATAAAGGCAGCAGTAGTATACTGCGGTTCTTAAGTCATAAAACAAATATGGGTTACAAACTAAAACAGAGGGAAACACATCAACTTTAGAAAGAAAACAACGGAACAACAGAAACACTGTAGTGTAACAAAAACAAACACCAAGGAGCACACTCATGTCTATGATGTCCGTATAGTGAGAACATACACGAGCATATCGAAGTTGATCACAAATATTTCTCATTTTTTTTTTTAATCGATTTGTAGTAAATCTACGAGCAACAGCATACAACGCTGAATAGTCTCACCTTCAGCAAAGGTTTGATAGCGAACTTATATTAGACAATACACTATTATCACATGTTGTCGCTTAATTACAAGATCATTAAGAGTTTGATTTTTATTTTGAATTTTATCTCAATACGTTTGTACATGTTTATTGCTTTAAGCAATAATGTAATTCAAACCCCGATCTTATGTACTTATATGTCGCGAGGGATAATAGGTATTATTCAACCAAGGTCGTACATAATCAATAGATATCAAGCATTTTATGCCTGTTTATTATTTAGTTTAAACTATTGAAATTGAGCAAGTGCACTTTAATTAGAGGGTATTCCCGTGTAGAAAAAAAAATCACTTGATCATGTCATATTTGTGAAATGCAATCCGACTTGTGATTGTTAACTATAGTTCAATTATTCACTATTTTTAACATTTGAAAATTTGCCATTCTCTTTTTTTCTTAAAATATTGCAACGTTTTAAATGATCAGTTTCACCACTTACTGAAGTTGTATTACCGTTGTCTTTTGATTTTTAGTTCTACAGTCAATTAATTATTTGTTCGTGACATAAGAATACTCTATGTATATTCATATCTGATACCTGGCATCATGAAACATTTTTGGATATGTTAACATTTTATTATTATTTACGCTGGATTGGAGGAAAAACTTAATTGAGAGGAAATACAAATGGTTATTAAGATTAAACAGATAGTTAAAACGGAGGTAAAAATACCAGAAATAAGTCCGGGTACAAATATAAAGAGC